ATGGCTCAACTTCTTCTGTTAGTTGGCACTTTTGAGGTAAGGTAAAATGTCAAAAATAGCAGGGTATTTACGCAATCATGTGGGTAACATTTTGCGCCTAAGCACTAATTGGAATAAATACTTGTTTTCCTGAGGTACCATGAGATCCTGAGGAACTGTGAGATTTCAAAATACTTGAGAAGTTACTACATTAAATAAAATGAAAGTGTATGATTATCATTGTTATAGTTTTAAGATAAAATTTAATCTAATATAGGTCAAAAAGCTGCTATTATCCCTAAAAGACTCTGATTGACTTTTAGAGTGAACCAATTCACATTCTTCAACATCACTGCAGGGCTAGGATGTAGCTCTGGAGCCAGTCAAGTGTCAACAATCAATGAAGTCAATGATCAAAAACGCTGAGTCTCCGGAGATCAAACAGGGATCCTATTTGTGGGCATCAGTAAGATCCATGTTTCTCCTGAGGATAATTATGTATGTAAAAGCACATCAGAAAAACGGGTTCTGCCTAGCCTGAGAGCTTCACCCTTTCTTGCTATCGCCTTCTGCCCTACTCTCTGGCCACCTCATACTACCCAGGTAAGTTGGCTGTGCTCTCCTGTCCCACTGGCCTTTGCACATCCTGCTCCTGAGACTGGAACATCCTTCTCTGCTTCCTTGACCTAGCTAATACCTACTCATCATTAACAGTAAGCCCACTCTCCTGGGAAAACTTCCTAACCCATGCACTAGCACACATGCCTGTCTGGTTTTCCCAGAGCACCAGTGTCTCCTTCTACATAGCACTTAGCACTACGTACTCTCTGTTCACTTGCTAATGTTCCCAGAGCTGTGAGCTCTTTGAAGGCACGACATTTATTTGATTCATCTCTCTTTCCCAGGCCCAACATAGTGCCTAGAATGAGTAAGCCCACAACAGATATTTGTTGAACTGAATGAGAAGGGTAAGACCTCAAAGGGACAGACAGTGCTCTGAGCCGCAGGGCCTGCTGATACTGTTGCTAGGAGCCAGCTCCCCTTCCAGGCAACAGCTGCAGGCTCCTCCCCCACTTGCCAGACCCTTCTGCAGGTGGTAGAAGCAAAGAGGATGATGGGAGTATATTGCTACTGGTACTACCAGGGAGGGAAAGAAAAAACTAAAAACCAGAAAAAAAATTCCTGTCACAGTGCCAGTTCTCATAACTCATACTCTTGCCAGTATTCAGTGCCTGCTACAAAGGAGATATTTTACCAGTTCTAAGCTTTTCTTTCAGTAGGGTAAGCATCTGGTCCCTTCAACCTCAGACTTTTAATCTTGATGAGGAGATAAAGCAGATCCCCTTTGGTCTGTATTTCTGGATTTGGACATTCAGAGCCCTACTCTACCTGTAGGTCAGAAAGCGGACACCGGCGTGGACCCAAACAAGAATGACTTGAATTTAAATGCAGTAAGGCAAATTCTATGGGAGATAACATATAAGGAATCCGCATACTGTAAGCTCCCTGGCAGTGAAATAGGGTCTGCCCATCTGAATTACACCTAACACTCATCCCAATAGTCCCTTCTATAAACTTTGGAGTGAAATAGACAAATGGATGAATGGATAACTACTTCTGGTGAAAATCAGAAAAGTCTGATTCCATCCAGCAGAGGGCAAAAGCAGCTTGGGACCAGGGTGAGGATGTGAACCCAGGCTGCCCAAGATCCTGGCAGCTTCTGCCTGGCACCATTCTGGCTAAATTTTATCTTTAAATTATTCATCAAATGCTAGTTCTCCTTCTAAATGATGAAAAGAAAATCTAATCTTTCCTGAAGAGTAAACTCGCATCATCTGTCCAGAAGCCCCAAGGGCTCTCTGTCTTTCAACTATGGTACTTGAGAAACTGATCAGGGTTCAAGAAATCCTGGTGACGTTTGACTTCCACTACTAAATCTGTGCATCTTGCATTCTCCCAATTAGGAGCTTCTGAGAGTTTGTGAGGTACTATAAGATGATCTAAGAATTGAATTAATGTTTAAGCCTTTCAAGGTTAAAGAATCATAAAGGCAAGAAAATTTCACACAAAGTTTCTGTAACTTGGCTTTGCTTGTGCCTGGCTGTTGTACAGAGTCGTCTATTAGAAAGGAGCCCCTCAGGGGACAGGGCCTCTTCTATGTCACAGCAAAAATTCTATACAAACCAGAAAGTTATCTCCCAGAATAACAATGTCCAGTGGAGATCTGCATTAGCTATATTTTATATTAGAGCAACAGAGTAACAGGGCATTCTGATAGCCTCCCAGTCTGTCTCCAGAGGGGCAGTTTTATATAATCTCATAGGAACTATTACAATAGCGCATGTTCTGGTATTTGGTCACCACAAATGAGCCAAAGTTTCCATGAAGCATGTCATCATCAATTGAATAAAATCTAGCCTTACTACATTAAAAACTCACTTCTCTACAGCCCCTTTGAATAAGAAGCAAGATAAAATAATAGATAACTAAACATAACAGCTCTTTAGATCTTGAAGCCAGTTTACCAAGCAAGAATCATGACTATCCAGTTAAGTGGACTGGAAGAAGGGAGGCAGGGATTGAGACAACAGGATTAAAATTTTGAGGTGAGTCTATGGCGATCTAATTTGAAAAGAGAAGAAAACACCTAACTTTACTAGGTAAAGTAAGTTAACAATCCCCTGGGAATAATAAATCATAATCAAAATATGACGATAATGATAGTAGATGTGATAGCTACCATTTATTAAGCACCTACCAGTTGCTAAGCACTGTACTAGGTACTATACTAAATTACTTCATGTGATCCTCCACAATCCTATGAGGTCAGGACTGCCATTTAACAGATGAAGAGGCTCAGAGATGTAAAGCAGCTCACTTAAGGAACAGAACTAGTATGGGGCAGAGCCAGAATTCAATCTCAAGGCTGTAAGTTACTCCAAAGCTCAAGCTCTTTCCACTGCATGATGCTGTCTCTCAAGAATAAAAATATGACATCAGCCTTAAGGATAAAAAAAAATGTTAAAAACTAATCTCACCCACCTGTTTGATCCCTCTGGTATTACTGGCTCAAGCTGAGGGGAGAGGGGGCAGTGAGACAGGGAGGAGATTAAAAAACAGTGGACATCTGAGGAAAGAGTCAGTGGGAACACAGCCAAGACAGAGCTACATTGAGGCCTCCCTTCTTCCTTCTGGGCAGAAATTACCCACATCCATACACCAGGAGAACATCTGTCAACCCGTGGCCTTCATCCCAAGGCTGCAGACACCCTTGCTTTATTTGAAAATGCAGAATTTTTGAGAAAAGTTCTAACATAAAACCCTGAACAGAAACTAGTTACAAACCACCAACAAGCAACTAACAATCCTAACCTTATTGTTCTGTGTCACCACCATTATTCAATTTTCAACTCATTATCTTTTTCTCTCATAACATGCACCTTCTTACCTGCCTTCTCATCCATACCTAGGTCCCTGCTTCCTTCCTGGAACATGCCAACCTCTCCTACATCCTAACATTCAATTTTGCTATCTGCCAATTCTAGATTTTCTCATACAAAATCCAATCTCCACACCAAAAATCCTAACCCCCTCCCTTCACCCACTCCCAGCTCCCCTGCCACCCCACCTCTCAAGCCTCCTGCCCTTCCAATCCTTCCATGACCCCCAGATCCAATCCCACCAGCACCTGTCTCTCCTTCCTTCCCCACTCTACTGCACCCCCACTCACTCTAAGCCCCATGTGTCCTTCACCATGTATTCTTCCATTCCTCCCATTCTCTGGGATTCCTTCTGCTAGGACCCAAATCTCTCCATCTTTTTCCTTGTTTTCTATCTTCAGTCCTCAAAATCTCTTTCCTTCACGCCTCACTATGCCCAACTTCACAATCCAAAGCCCCAACTTCTTTCTTTCCCACCCCCAAAACCCCACCCCTTCTCCTGTTCCAATCCTAGATCCTTTTCTCCTCACACTCTTCAAATCCCATTCCCTTTCCCCCCTCCCCAGTACTGCCATTCTCCGTATCCGTAAATTCCCACTCAAGCCCCTCCTCAAGCCCACCCAAGCTAATCCCGCTCCCTTTTCCCACCCAGGCCTCCGACCCCAATTCTCACACCCCACACCCTATCCCAGCACCCTAACTCCACCCTTAAACTCATCTCCGTCACCCCTGTATCCTCATCCTCACACCTTTCACCCAAGCACACCCCAACCCCGTCCCCCTCGGTCTTCCCCTCCCCCACTCCACCCTTTCCTCAAGCCCGGCACCCGCCCCCACTCGCAGCTCTGGGCTCCGTGAGCGGCCCGGCCCGCGGCCGCCACCTACCTGTGCCCCTGCCTCGGGCACGCCAGCAGCAGCTCCTCGGTGGCGGCTCCCTCCTCCCGCGGCGCCGCTGACGGGGGAAGCAGCTCCGCGCCCCCGGCACAAAGCTAGGGAGGGTGAGACTGAGAGTGGGCGGGAGGAGGAAGGGGGCTGGGGGCGACCTGGCGCCGTGGGACCGCGGGGGCCGGCAGGGGCGGGGGTAACACTGGGCAGGGGAGGCGCGCTTGCGCGAGACCCGGCATGAGGGGCGGGGCCGGACCTAGAGGCGGGGCCGGGCCTAGGGCTGACGACCTGAGGGCGGAGGGCTTGGAGCCCGGAGAGGTGGGGACTGCGCGTGCGTGCTCTCTCGAGGGCGGGTCTCGTGGGTCTCACAGGCCCTAGAATTTGAGCTGAGCTGGGGGAGGGTAGGCAGACCACGCTCAGATGCTTGCCTAGGGAAAGGCCCTTGGGCGGGGCTACGGTGCTCAGCCCGCGAAGTAAAGAAGGATACGGGGCGTGGTCTGGGGTGGGCCTACGGCAGGGGTGGATCGTAGAGCTGGAAGAGGAGGTTTGCGCGCCCGGGAACTCAGAGGAGGCCTGGACGGAGCGGAGCGGGGCGGGGCTGGGGACCCAGGCCGTGGCACAGAACCGGGCGGGACAGGGCGGAGCCTGCGGGCGGGGTGGAGCGAAGAGCCGGGAGTAGAAGGCTCCGGGAACTCCTCCAAGGCCTGCGGAGAGGGAAGGGGGCGGGGTTGGGGCGCGAGTCTGTAGGGAAATCCCGAGGCCCGACTGTCCTCGCCGTTGGAGCTAACTGGAGGCCTAGGCGAGCGAGGCGGCCCGGCGGGATCGGCCCGCACCGGGGGAGGTGGGATCCTGGCCGGGCGAGGCCTACTGAGGGCGATGCTGGTGGAGGAGGGAGCGAGCGAGCGTGGCGGGGATTGTGAGGAGACCCGCGGCGCGGAGGCGGACGGTGGGAGGGCGCTTTGGGGCGGCTCGTGAGGGGAGGCTCGTGAGGGGAGGCTCGTGAGGTGGGTGGGGTGGGGGGGGGTGTGATGCAGGTCTGTTATTTCCCCGGAGTCCTAGAGACACTAGTGACATCTCACGAACTTTTTGGAGGCCTGAAATAATGTTTTGACCCCAAAAAGACAAAATCAATTGCAAATCGAAATTAATAAATCTATCAAAATGTAACAAATCAGCTGGAACGTAACCCGTATATTTAAGAATTACATTTGACGTTGATTCATTTAATATAGTTTGCGTAATTTGGGGCGGGGAGTCCAAAAGTATGAGTATTTAGGGCCCTTGGAGGTCTGGAAATGGCCTTGAACTGAGGAGAGGGGTTTGGGATGGAGGTGAAAAGGTGGTATCAGGGCTGGTTGCCTTTCAAGTAATATCAAGCTATAGCACCTAGCCCTGGGGAGACAGGATGGACGTGTTCTAATTTACACAAAAGTACCAAGTGGATGATGATGTGGGAAGGGGTTTGAGGAGTCTAGTTGTAGGAGTACCAGAGGCAGGGGGCTAGTCAGGGAGAAAGGGAACTGAAGATTTGGCGCAGAGGGGTTTTCGGAAAGAAGGGACATATGAACTGGAGGTGAAAGGGTGGGTAACTGGCACTGGGTTTAGAGGACAGGATAAGGCATCAGGGAAGTCCAGGGTCAGGGACCTTAAAAATTGCAAAGGATGGCACCTTAGAGTGCAGCACCTTTGATGAACTGAGGCCCCAAGTGAACACACGTGAATTAAGTAAGGTGTCCCAGGATGGGGAATAGGCTACATCCCAAATCTGCGTTTTGGAGTTGCAGAAACAACGTAACTGCTGAGTTGTTTTTTGGGTTTCTTTTGGATTGGTTTGCATCTTTTTCATTAACCACAACAAAGGAACCTCAAAGTGAATCCTAGTTCTTACTTGTTATGTAGATAATTCCACCCACTACAGGAAAAAGGAAGGCTATTGGTGGCTTTAGGAGGTATAAAATGAATTTTGTATTAAAGTACATGTTTGCTTCCTTCAGACAACTTAGGTGATAAGAATGTGAGGTAAGAAAAGAACTGACTAGCTGGAGAATACATTCTCTTCCTTATTCATCTACTACACATCAATGCTAGATATATTTCCCTAAAATACAACACTTTTAAAAAAAAGAAGTTCTCTGCTTAAGTCTCCAACCTTCATATTTCCACTCCCAAATAGATTACCACAGGATTTTTCCATCTCTGCACCATACACATTTTTTGGTCAGATAATTATTTGTTGTGGCAGACTGTCCTATGCATTGTGGGATAGTTTAGCAGCATCATGAAATGCCCACAAGATGCCAAAAGCATCACCTCCCCACCCCAAGTGTGACAGCCAAACTGTCTCCAGACATTGACAAATGTCCCTTGGTGGGGAAAGGGCTAAATTAGCCCCATTCCAATGGAGAACCGCTGGACTACAGGCTAAAGCCTACCGTCTTTGCCTGACTTTCAGGTTTCTTCATTATCTGTTCTCAATCTACCTTTCCTAGAATTTGATTCAGTCTAAAAGAACCCCAGTTCAAGAATTCTTTCTTTAGTTTTCTCCAAAGGTATCCACCTAGTCTTCTTGGACACTTTCAAGGATGGAAAAGGTTAAAAAATCTTTACTTTGCTAGAAAGTTCTTATATCTGTGATGTCTTCCTGCTTAAAATTCATATTTTTTGAGTCCAGTTCTCCCTCTTGGAGTTGTAAAAGAAAAGTTCTAAGCCTTTTTCCATTTGTGAAGACTTGCAATATTAAAACCTTTAGTCACATTTCTCTCACTGAATTACCTCTTTTTGAAACAATATTCTCTCAACTTCCTCCACATAACATGACTTACAGACCATCATGAACTTTTTGCTCTCCTCTGAACAATATTAACCCTGATCATGTTCTACTTAAAATATAGTACCTAGAACGGAATACAGTATTCTAGATGTGGATCACATTGTTAGCACATAACATACTAAATTATTGGTTTTATGCTTGTCCATCTTCCTTGACTCAGCTTTAAGGCAAAAACCAAGTCTTAGTCAACCTCTTTGTCTTAGGTTTACATATTCAAAGACTACTACATGGTTTCTTTGCCTTACTAGCATAGTGCCTTAGTTGGTTTTCAAAAATTTTGATAGAATATAGTACCTTCTTAATTCTATTAATATAAAATAACATTCTTTTACCTTTGGGGGCAGATACTGTACATTCTTGCCTTACAGTGATTTTGCAGTCAACTAATCTTCTATGTTTTACACATAGAAGGGTTGGCAAACTTTTTCCAGATAATGAATATTTTAGGCTTTATGAGCCTTATAGTCTGCCACAGCTATTCAACTCTGTCACTATAGCACATGTACAATATATGAATGAGCGTAGCCATTTCCAGTAAAACTATTCACAGACGCTCAGCTATGAATTTGATATTTCATATAATTTTCATGTGCCACAAGATATTATTTTGATTTTGAAAAATATTTAAAATGTAAAAACTGTTCTTAGCTTATGGGCCATACAAAGATAGGTGGCAGTCTACATTTGGCTCATCGGCAGGATTTTGCCAGTCCCTGATCTAGACCATTGCTTGTGTGATTGATTTAAGTCTGAGTATCGGCCTTGACTGTTATCCTTATTAAATATCTTATTCATTGCAACCTGTTTTTCTAGCTTGTTCAGATCTTTTTGTGTGCTCTAGCATATTTTCTGTCATGTAGCATTGTTAGCTGACATCCCAGCTTTGTGTCGTCTGCTAAATTGATAAACATACTTTTTCCATCCTTAATAAAAATGTTGAATGGAATAAGGATAGAGGTCTTCCACAGTCCTTTTTGTCCCATTAATCATAATTCTTTGAATATAGTCATTCTAAGAATTATAAATGGCTACCTAAAGTGCTGCCTATCACCTTTCCCACATTTCTTCATCTAGTCCACAGGGTATCTTGAGATGCTTTGTCTCAAGTTTTGTTGACATGTCCCTAATAGGTAGTAACTCTATCAAGCAAACAAAAAGAAATGTGTAGGTTAGGTATAACTTGTAAACTAATGTTACTGTTGCTTTCCAGTTTTACTACTTTCTTGTTTAGATTTTCAAGGCTATACTTTTAATAATAATGAAATTTAGTAATTTTATAATTTTGTTGATAAATAACATCCAAGTACATCAATCTGTATTTCTAGGAATTCACCATATTTCTTCTCTTCAAACTAAAGGTTAACAATGTTGATATAACACCAGTTCTCTGGTATCAATAGTGTTAAAAGCTATGGTAAGATTGGTGAGAAAAAAGGCAAAATAAAAACATATTAGAATATATGCCTTTTTTCTTGATCATGGCTTTTAACACTATCAATACTAGATTTTAAAGTTATAATAGAACATGAACTTCATGCCAATAAATATAAAAACTTAGAAAAGTAGATAACTTTCTCAAAATATGAATTTCAAAATTAACTCAAGGTGTAGAAAGCCTAAAGAGAACTATTAGACTTGAAATAGTCAAAAACCTACACTACAAATCTACAAACACTTTACTAGGCTTATAGAATCAAATAACCCCTATCTTATACGAATAGAAAATTAGGGGAAACTCTCCAACTTCTTTATTTTGAGAGTACAGTCTAAATTCCAAAACCAGTCATGGACTAAATAACAAAGAAAACTTACAGGCCAATCTCACTTAGAAATATATTTGCAAAATTTCTAAAAATACTAGCAAATTGAATCCAGCTAAGGATAAAAACACTAAAACAATTCGGCCGTTTTGACAGAGTTTGTACTACAAACTAGGGATGCTGTAACATTAGAAAATCTTGATTTAATTTAACATTAACAACCTGTAGAAAAATCTGTATAATCACCGTAATAAATTTTAGAAGAGCATTTGATAAAATTCAGTGCTCATTCATACTTAAAAGAGAAAACCCCCAACAATCTAAAGTGAAGGGTAACACCATGGACAGTGGCTAACAAAATCTTCAGTGAGCATCACATTTAATGGTGAAATGTTGGAAATATTCCTTGTGTGATGAAGAATAAAATTTTTTAATAACGTTAGTTTTTTGAAGATCCCATTTACAGTAGCAATGGAAACCATAGGGATCTAAGAGTGAATATGATAAAAAGAGGTGAAGATGTATTTGTAGGAAACTGTAAAACTTAAGAAGTGTTAAATTAATGAAGAGATATGCCAGATCATGAATTGGGGAACTCATTGTCATAAACATGTCAGTTCTCTCCAAATTAATCTATAACGGAATTGAATTATAATCAACATCTCAAAAAATGTTTTATTATAATTTAACAAAACTGTTTGTAATAATCAAGGTATGAAGCATAGAAACAAAATTTGAAAGTTAAGCAGGAGAATTTACCTTCCAGATACTAAGATTTATTCTATCTTATCTAGCCTTCTACTTTCATATTTAGAGTGTCTCTTGAAAGTATCTAGTTTTGTTTTGTTTTTTGAAGTTTAGTCTGATAGTGTAGTGTTTAGTTTACTAATATTTAATGGAATAATCTTTGTGTTTGTACTTAAATCTATCTTCTTGCTGTTCATTTTGTTTGTTCTGTCTTCTTTTTTTCTTTTCTACCTTCTTTCAGATTAATCAAGTATTTTTATGGTATTCTAATTTTTCTTCTCTGTCAGCCTTTTTCCTGTAACTCTTTATGTTTTTTAGTGGCTGCTGCTTTAGTCAGTAGTCTTTTACAGAAATTTTAAGAATATTCTCTTACGTTAGCAATGTATTTACCATTTCCAGTGGTCTTCATTCATTCCCATAGATCCAGGATTCAACTTGGAGTCATATCCCTTCAGCCTGAAGTACTTGCCTTTAATATTTTTGTACTGTGGGTCTTACTGGTAACAAATACTTTCAGTTTTTGTTTGCTTGAAAATGTCTTTATTTTGCCTTCATTTTTAAAGGATATTTTTGCTGGATATAGAATTCTGTATTTTTTCTTTCAGCACAAAAACATCATTCCATTGTCTTTTAGCTTCCATTGTTAATTACGAGAATTCAGTTTTGATTCTCCTTGTTGTTTTCCTACGTATAAGGTGGTTTTTGCTAGACTGATTTTAATTTTCACTCTTTTCTTTAATTTTCAGCAGTTGACTAAGATGTGCCTAGGTGGGATCTTCTTTGTATTTATCCAGCTATGGTTCACTAAAGTTCTTGGATCTGTGGGTTTATGTCTCTCATAGATTTTGGAAGATTTTTAGCTACAATTTACTAAAATTTTTCTTCTACACTGTTCTCTTTCTCCTCTCCTTCTGGGATTCTAATTACATGTATTTCAGACTAGTTTGATATTGTTTCACAGGTATCTGATGCTCTGTTCTTTTATTTTCATTATCATCTGTTTTCATCTATTTCATTTTGGACCATTTCTGTTGGCCTGTCTTTAAGGTCACTGAGCTTTTCTTGTGTTGTGTCCAATCTAATGTTAACCCATCTAATGAATTCTTTATTTCAGATATGATATTTTTCAGTTCTAGGATTTCCATTGTGTTATATTTTATAGTTTCCACTTCTCTGCTAAAATTCCCTTTCTGTTCACCAATTTTGTGCATCTTTGCGCTAAATTCTCTAATCAATTTATAATTCCAGCACCTTGGTCATCTATAGATCTGCTTCAAATGACTTTTTTTTTTAGTATTTAATTTTTTTAAGTTTTATTTTTAAAATTTTTATTGAAATATAGTTGATTTACAATATTATATTAACTTCAGGTGTACAGCATAGTGATTTGGTGTTTTTATAGATTATACTCCACTAAAAGTTATTAAAATATAATGGCTATAATTCCCTGTGCTACTCACATGACTTTGTGTGTTGCCCATTGTGTTTAAAAGAACAATAGATGCTGAAGTAAGTAGATAATGTTTTTTCCCAGAGAAAACACACCATTTTCTTTGTCTGGTAGCTAGGCTAAGGAGAAAAATCACTTCAGTCCATCTAGGGATTGTGTTGAGTTGTAGTTTTATTTAAATAGTTTCAGTTTATCTCTGATTTCACATATTTAAGAGTAAAATCAGTTCCTTCCTTCATCAGGGCTTTGGGATCTAAGTGCCTGAGACCATAGAAATCTTTCCTTGCTTTTTAGCTCACATCCAGTTTCCTGTGAAGCTCCACTTAAGGGTTGATTTCATTGATCTCATTAGGAGTTGAGCTTGGTTGGGGCTGGATTACTTAGTTGTGCTTCAACTCTGCCACACACAACGACATGGATAAATCTCAAACACGTAATGATCAGTGAAAGAAGCCAGATGCAAATGAATGCAAACTATATGATCCCATGTATATAAAGTTCAGGTGAAAAGAATCTGTAGCATTAGAAATAAGGACCATGCTACCTGTGGGAAGGAGGGGAGGGTGGTGACTAGGAGGGGCCATAAAAAAGGCTTCTCAAATGCTGGTGATAGTCTGTTTCTTTACCTGGGTGGTGGTTACCTGAATGTTTACCTTGTGAATACTTATTGCATTGTATACTTATGATGTGTGTTCTTTTCTGTATATATGTTACAGTTCAAAACCAAAAAAGGAAGTGTGTGTGGTGGGGAAGAAGCTCTCGCACAAAAAAATAAAGTTAAAAAGAAAAATCAAGTCATAGAATAGAAGAGATTTGCAATGCATATAACAAAGGATTTGTATCCAGAATATTTTGCTTAAAAATTTTTTACAAATCAAAAAGAAAAGGACATAAGGGGGAAAATGCACCCAATAGAAAATGAGTGAAGAATAAGAAAAAGCAAATAACTGAAGAGGCCTGAATGACCTTTTATAAACATGAAAAGGTATTCAGTCTCACTAGTAATCATGGAAATACAAATTAAAACCTTACTGAAATACCATTTCACACCAACGCAGTTGACTAAAGCCAGAATGTCTAACAATACCAAGTTGGTGACAATATGAGGAAGCATTAATTCTCATACACTGCCGATGGTAATGTAAATTATTTTAATTTAGAGATCAAGTTGATCAATTATTGACTTGGAGATATACTGATTGTAGCTCTGATTGTAGCTCTCTGCAGTTTTACTTCCACAAGGAAAGATACTATTTATTATAAAGACTTTCTCCCAATGTGCACATACACAAAGATATGCATTGCAAATTTGTTTGTAATAGCAAAAAATTGGAAATAGACCTAAATATCCATCATCAGAGAAATGGGAAATACCTTACAGCAGTTTAAATGAATAAAGTAGATTTACATGTATCAATATAATAATCTTGAAAATATAATACTGAATGAAAAAAGCAAGTAGCAAGGGATATATATATTATGAAAACATCTAAGTTTTAAAAGAACAGTACATATTGATACACATATGGTAAAAGTATAAAAATGTAGTCAGTAAGGATATGGATCAGTTTCAGAATAGCTGTTACCACTGGGCAAGGAAGGGAATGGAGTTAGTCAGTGAGGGGCTACTAATTTCTTTTTTTTTTTTACTTCATTCACTTTATTTTTTGCATATAAAACTATGTGGTGGCCACAGCTGGAGCCTGGGTCCTCTGCACAGAAACTCTGGTGTGGGTCTTTACAAGATGGTCAGTGAATTCCTGATACGGAGACTTGGTGAACACAGTCTCCTTCCAAAGATCAGGGGTGAGATAGCTGTAGGTCTTGGAGATGGCATCAAAGGTGGCCTTAGCAAAGTTGCCCAGCGTGGCAGTGCAGCCCCTGGCAGAAGTGTAGCAGTCATCAATACCAGCCATCATCAGCAGCTTCTTGGGCACCGGGGCTGAAACAATGCCAGTACCCCTGGGTACAGGGATGAGGCACACCAGCACAGAACCACAACGGCCAGTCACCTTGCAAGGAACAGTGTGGGGCTTGCCGATCTTGTTCCCCCAATAGCCTCGCCGCACAGGGACAATGGAGAGCTTGGCCAGGATGATGGCCCCCCGGATGGCTGTGGCTACCTCCTTGGAGCACTTAACATCCAAA